ATTATTCGAAGAATTTTGAAAAAAATGAGGATTGATGACTTTTTTTTAAATTTCAAAAAATTGTTGATTATTTATTTAATCATTATTTAGCCTATAGATAAAGCAAATACAATTTGTCAGCTGTATTAAACAAAACAACTCTTAAACAAAGTGTCGAACTGGGATAAGCGACCAAAAAATTTGCTTAAGCTTAAAAATATCGTTATTTCAACACCCAACATAGATTCTGTTAATTTATAATATTTAAGAAGGGTATTAAAGTAACCTTCCCTGGCCCATTTATTTTCATAAATCAAACCCTTGTTTTATATAATATGAGCCATATTTAATTGGAATATTTTTGAAAATTTAATAAAACATCAAAATAAAATAATAAAAAACACGGCTACCCGACACTTGAGGATATGATTTTTGAGGACCAGACATTTGAGGACCGACTTTTGAGGACGCGACCTTTGGGGATGCGACTTTTGGGGATGCGACTTTTGAGGACGCGACCTTTGAGGATGCGACCTATGAGGATACGACTTTTGAGGATCAGACATTTGAGGATACTCTAATGTCAAAAAAAATAAAAATTTTAATTTTATGTTAAAAAATTTTAAATTTTATAATTTTATTGGTTGCTCAAAGCCTAACGAGCAAATAGTGATCATTATTAAATATAATCATTTCAGTTTTCGAAGTAGTCCGTGTCCGTTCGTGTTTTGTGTCCGACAACACAAAAACAAAACACAAAAAAGAATAATTTTTTTGCTTTTAATCTTTTCTCTATCATTCATTTGAATATGCCACAGAGAAATTCATTGGAAGCAGAGGTGGTTCGGAACAGCCAAAGGTGTCGGAAATCGGAAGTGTCGGAAATTTCAAGGGGTCAAAGTGAATATAAAGGGATTTGGGCCAGATATCGGGGTATTAAGTGGAGTAAGGTGTATGTCAGGGATTTAGCTATCTGGTTATTTGGCCTTACAAAACTTGGCATTTCACCTGGCCTTCAGAAATTCTTAAAATTTTCGCCTGCGGCACCAAATAAAGATCTGATCATAACTTTCCAAGAGGCTCAAATTCTATTAGGTTGTCATTCCAAAATTGTAAATCATTCTTAAACGGTACACTTCATATCCTCTTATCCTTCCCAAACTTTCTTAATCTTATATCCTTCCAGACATCGAGGTATTCTTCCGATATCCATTCGAATCCGCTGATATCCTTATTTGGGCTTGATATCGAAAGATCAATAGGTTATCAAACCAGACTCCTTTTATCACCCGATATCAAACCTCTAATATCCAACAAATATATCTATCCTTAATAACTCCTTAACCCGAAAAAAACACGCGAATCATAAAGAAGAAAACAGTTTCCGTCGTGATCATCTAAATATCTGGAAAATTCAATATTTGCTCGTTAGGCCTTGAGCAACACATAAAATTATAAAATTTAAAATTTTTTAACATAAACTTAACATTTTTATTTTTTTGACATTAGAGTATCCTCAAATGTCTGATCCTCAAAAGTCGTATCCTCAAAGGTCGCATCCTCAAAGGTCGCGTCCTCAAAAGTCGCATCCCCAAAGGTCGCGTCCTCAAAGGTCGCATCCTCAAAAGTCGGTCCTCAAATGTCTAGTCCTCAAAAGTCATATCCTCATGTGTCGCGCCACGAAAAAACACATAGTCTAGAGGTTTTGAACTTTCCAACGATAACGTTGGTTATCTAAACTTTCGGTTAATCAAAACGAAAACCCGAAAATCTTCGGTGCGGTTTGAAACCGACAATCCTATCTAGTATCAATTCTGCTGTTATCAATAAATAAATTTTGATGTTATTTATTTCGATGAATTCGACAAGTTTATTTTATTAACGCTTATTAAAATTATAATAAAATATTTTTCCCAAAAATAACTATAACTTTATTATTTTTTTAAATTATAAACACAAATTTAAATGGAAATATAAAATTATTTTAATTAATTTATTGTTAATAATAGGAATAATTTAATAATAATCTAATTAATAGGAATACATTGGTTAAGTGGAGCAGGGGTAGTTGTACAAAGTCCACCTACAAAAGAATAAGCACTAGTAGCCGTAAAGCAAGCACTTTTTGGTGTCGAAGTTATAAAGGAAACTGTTACAGTACCACTTGACAAACACCACCAATTACTAGGTAACCACTAGCTACAACAAAAGGTTGACCTGTGCAAATTGTAATGGCGCCGGATGAAATAGCATCGCCATTCGAATCTATATTGCAAGAGCCTTGTAGTGAAACGCAGTTACCACTCTGTGTGACTGCAAAACTTCCACCATTTGGACATGTCGGAATAACTAAATATTTTTGTATTTACTTTTCGAATATTTTTTTGTTTCCTAAATTATGATAAAATTTAATCTAGGTACTAATTATACGCATCAATATTTTTTCTGTTTTTCAAACTGATATTGAAAGATGGCTTTCCCCTCTGAAATTTTAATTTATCAATCGAAAAATCACAAAAAGTTCTCTGAACAACTTTCTATAAATATTAAAGAAAATACAAAAGAAACGGGGTATATGAAGAAACGGGGATATATATATATATATGATAGACTTTTAAATTTAATGTATAACAAATTGTTTTGATGAATAAATTCAAGTAAAATTTTATCGTCTTTAATATTAATTACATAGACAACTTCACCTACCTTCGTTAACCAGAAGAACAACAAACAAAAATTTTAAAATTATTTTAGTAAATAAATTCATTTTCTAAATTTATTTGCAATTAGTTAATTTGATTTTATTACTCAAAATTGTATATATTTAAATACATCTCGAGAAATTAATTTTTATTTAAATTATAATCTATTATTGTCGACAATTTAAAAAATATTTTACATAATTGTTTTTTAGAATTAAGCCGATTAAATTTAATTTTATTAAAAAATATTAATTTAAGAATTTATTTAAATTTTATTTAAAAATATTATTTTTTGTCCTTTTAATCGGCTTAATTTAAAAAAGAACTATGTAAAATATTTTTTGAATTGCCGACAATAATAAATAATAATTTAAATAATTTTTAATATCTTTTGGTTAACGAATGTAAGGTAAATTTGTCTATGTAATTAATAAATAATAAAAACGATAAAATTTTACTTAAATTTACATAGTATAACAATTTGTCATACCTTAAATTTAAAACCTAAAATGAATGGAAAGCCAATATTTTTCCAGATTCCCATGAACCTTCAAAATATATAACTTCAAGGCCCTTTCATTTCATGTTCGTGCCAGAAACTTTCCTGTTTGTGCCAGAAAAAAATGATATAAAAATATCAATACTTGAATGAATTCTGCTTTACGGTATGGGGAAAGCAACGATCCATCTACTAAGAAGACAGTCTTTTGGCATTAAGTAGCGAAAAGGATCGCGAACAGTAAAATCACCCTTAAATATTTATTATAAAATTCATTTATAAATGTATATTTAGCCTTTTCAACTGATTGCAAAACGCCTTAAAGCCCATCGTTGAGATAAAAAAATAAAATGTTATAATAAAGTATTGAACTCAAACCTTTTTGGTGTCATTTGGATTTACTGTACTATTATTTCCAAACTTAATAGTCGGCAATTTACGAAGACTTATTTGAACTTTTTTTTGATCTCCACAAAGTTTGACACCAAAACAATATATAAATTTGGCACAATCACCCTTCTCCCAATCTGTGCATTTATTCCTTAATCATCTCACTACGCACATCTGGTCCAACTGCATTAGCCAACAAAATTCATAAATATTTAAAAGAAAACAATAAAAAACCATAAGAAGATCACTCGAAATTTGAGCCTTTAATTAGTTAATTGCATTTTATCCAAGGATACACGCTGGAAAGGCAAGATCTCGAGTAATTGAAGTGAATAAAGTGCCTGAAATAAATGTAATAAAGTATAAAAGATAAAAAATATATATAATAAATATTATAATATTAAAGAACATTTAACTTTATGAATTCTCACATGTCGATCACATGTTGATGTAAGGCAGTCATGTTTCCTTCAATTCTAACATTTTCTTTTCAGCAAAATACTGGATTATTGGAAAGTTTCTACCATCGACTCCTCTGATCTTTCGTTCAAATGAAATTAGGGAATGAAGAATAATTCAAAATAATAACAGATACCATTTTTGAACAATCTTTAGATGTTGTTATATGGTATAATTTATTTTTAACTTATTTAGTAATATATAACATACATTTATAATAAGATCATATAGCCTTGCCAACCTTAAGCAACTGAAACCTACTAACTGATGGGCTCAGTGGTAGAGCTCCTGTATATCTTAAAGTCATATGGTGAGCGAAAGCGACTAGCATTAACTAGCGGGTGGTAACAGCCCGGTGGCCAAACTTTTGCAAACTCTTTTCTATCCGAATTTCATTATTATTATTCGTAATGTAAAATTAATCTTTGAATACGAACTTGATGACTACATTTGGAATAAGAAGATTGTTTGTTTAATAAGGTCATTCTTGAAAACAAACTCCACAAAAAATCCTAATTCAATAAAACTTATGAAATAGTATTGGCCACAACCGGTTATAATCCGGTTAGTTTTATAGTTTGAGTTTTATTCCGGTTTTATTTTAGAACATCTTTTTAAAATTAAACATTTTTATAATTTTCCGTTTTCAAAATTTATCAAAAAAATTTACACAGACTTTTAACGTTTATATGTTTATCAATGTGCAAAAATTTTTAAAAATTAAATTTTTCTAACAAAATTATCGTCATATTTTTAATTTTTTTTTGAAAAATATCCTTGTATTATTTTACTTCTGTAATTTTGAACTTTGAATTGGAACAACTGGAGTAGTATTTATTCTCGAAAACAAAAAATTTTTGATGGAATTGTGGTAGTCTTTGCTAAATAAATTTTGTTAAATTTCAACTAAATTATTTTACTTAACAAAAAAAGATTTGGTGTCACATATTTGAAGGAAAAAATGATTGACATTAAAGAAGGAAAATTAATCTGTAGCTCAAATAGGGGTGGGGAGCGGGATACGAACAAAGTAGTCTAAAAATGTCCCAAATTTTCATTTTTTCCAACCTGCAAGTATAAAGAACAAAAGTATTGGCACATCCAACAAAAATCAAAACTAAATCCAAACAATCCATGATTATAAAACCTAAAGGGTAAGGACTTGGAAAAAATATTGGAACAAATTGACGACTGATAGAAGTACATATCCATCCAAAAATTATCATTAATAAAATAATCATTATAGATTTGTTTACTCCTTCAAGTTTTTTAACGTTATTTTGAGTAGTTGGAGCCTTTTTTCGAAAATAAAGCCGAATAAATATTAAAATATAACAAAACACTGCAGCAGCTGTTAATGTAAGACAAACACGTAAAAGTATATCTCCATAAGGACCATTCCAAAATTCAGCAATGGAACAACGCAGCATTCTAAATTAATATTTTTAGTACATATATGTATTTAATATTAGCAAGAAATCAGCAAGGGATTTCGGAATAGGTTTATCTTATTGACCCAGAACGCAGCGGCCGTTGACTCCTTGTGAGGCGCGAAGTTTGCACAAGCGCCTCGCAGACGCTCCTTAGGTTTGGGGTTTTTGTTTTTCTATCGTAATTTGCTTACAATCAACTATAAAAAATTGACTTAACGAATGAACTTTAAAAAAATCTTTTCTATATTAATTAAAGATTTCAAACGTCGAGTTATTATTTGGTGAAAATATAACAGCAAAATATGAAAGCAAAATGCCAACAGCCACTGCAATTGTACACAACAAAGATAAATAACTTTTAATAGCCAGATTTCGATGCCTTAATTTTAATTGTTTTAGTTAATTTTAACAGGCTAATTTTATAGAATTTGTCTTTTGGAAATTAATAAACATTCAGTTTTACTATAATTCAAATTAGAGCATGATGACTTGACTTGATATCGAGATCCATATTCGATATTAACCGATATTTAAAATTTTTTTTATCATCCTCAAATCATGAAAATTCATTGAAATTTTTGGCTCTATTACACAATATACGTCCAATCAACTATTATGCGTCGAATCAACCTTTATACGTCCATTTTATGCGTCCAATCAACTTTTATACGTCCAATCAAATTTTATACGTCCAATGAAAATTTATACGTCCAAATAAATTTTTATACGTCCAATCAAAGTTTATGCGTCTAAATAAATTTTATTCGTCCAGTAAAAATAAATTCTTGCTCAAGAGATAACAGAGATTCATGTAAAAATATTAGGAAAAAATTTGCTCAAGAGATTGCTCAGGCTAACAGAGATTTTTTAAAAATAACTTAGGAAAAGAATTTATTGTGTGTCGCTTATTACTGGTCTACCCACCCAACAAGTAAACTCGCTAACGTTCAAGCCGAAACTAACACATGTAATATCTCCTAATACTCTCGTGGATTATTATAAGTCTCTTCGAGACCTCTGTCAGGGATGTGCAACAAGAGTTCAAGTTAACACAATGTTAGGTCGCGTGGTAGAAGTTGATAAGTCAAAATTCGCTAAGTATAATACAAATATGTTAATGCGTCAATACGACTGGGTGTTTGGTATGGCCGAGCAAGGAACTAATAAAGTCCGTTTCTTCCATATTGCTGATAGAATAGCTTATACACTTCTCCCAATTATAGCAAATAATTAGCCGCAGGTACTACGTTTGTTTCCGATTGTTAAAAATGTGATTTGAAGTATAAATTTGATTGGACGTATAAACTTTTAATTGGAAGCATAAATTTTCATTGGACGCATAAACTTTTTAATGGACGCATAAACTTTCATTGGACGTATAAAATTTGATTGGACGTATATTGTGTAATAGAGCCAAATTACATTATATATATTTATTTTTCTCTATTTTCTCTATATATGTATATATATACCAAATTGGGAAAAACACAGCAAGTAAACGATCAAACCCAATAAAGAATACAAAAACAAAGGACATATGAAAAGCAGTAAGTGGAGCAATATTAAACCATAAACATTGACTTGTCGTAACTTTAAATTTTCCATAAATTGCATAAAGAATTGAGGCAATTATGCCAGTGGAAGCAACAATTAAATCACAAAATGCATTTACTCCAAGTAAATAAAAACAACTTGATGTTCTTAATCTTTGAATAATAATTTTGAAAAACTTATCAAATTTAATTATACTTTTCTAATTTAATTGTAATTAAAACAAGAAATCCATTAGACAATACAGAAAAAATACCCAGAAATAACAGCACAAGTATATCTATCAAAGTAAAAATGTCTTGATATTCGGGACATAGACAAGTTGGAGAAAGCTAAAATTTGATTTCAATTTTTTTTAAAAATCTTACAGGATTTCTTGGTCCACTTGCATTCATTTGCCGTGGTCCACTTGCATTCATTTGGCTTATTTAGTTTTTAATTTATCGATATCAAACTAAAAAATTATTAACAGAATTAATTAGTAGGTCGCGTTATAATTAGTGGTCGCTTTTTAGATTAAATTTTTAGGGTGTTGTTATACAAATTTTCTTTTCATTATTAATAAACATATAGATCTGAATCTACTCTTCATTTTAATACCAGGTATAAATATCTTTTGAAAAATTTAACCTTTTTGACTAAAAATTCGCTTTGTGCCTTCCTGATAGAGAATTTAAAAAGCTTTCGAATGATACTGCGGATGAGTGCGCGACCATAGTGGTCAAATTCAGTAAGCGTTTGGACGCGTATATCTTGGCGGAGGGAGGACACTGAACATTTGTTATAATTTTTCTTTTCTTTAGAATTTAATGAACACATTTTCATAGATTTTATAAAATGTTAAAAAATATTTGAAATAAATTTTATGCTTAATAAAAGTACGGGAACTTTTTCCGCACCCTGTATAGTATACTCGAGAAAATTTGATTTTCGATGATTCCGAAAATTTTGACATTCTCGATCAGACTCCATGAATACCACCCCAAAAATTCTCAAACTGGGATCCTTTAGAAAATACACTAACAAATGATTCGCAATAAAAATAAAAAATATTTTCAGAAAACTTAATGTCAAAAACCAAAATTAAAACTAATTATCACGCAACCAAATATAAAAATACAATTTCGAGTTTATAGAATTTCTTCCGTGCAGCTATATTTTCGTATTCAATAATAAAATTTCTGAACTAAATATTTGTTTGGTACATATTTAATAATATTTAATAATGAACTTTTAAAGAATATTCACTTAACTACGCCTAAAATATGGTCCATTTCATTTAAATCCTATGTCAAACCAATACTTGAATACGGAACGGAAATCTGAAATCCGATGACTCAAACCCTTACTAATCAGATCTGAAAGTTCAAAAGTTTTTTACCTTTCATGCACCTCGAAAATTAAACGGTCCAAAATTGGCTATTTAGATCGATTAAAATTTTCTAACCTCGAAACTCAGTCTAAGACTCTCAGTCTAAGACTAAGATCTATGAAATTATCAATCACTTTACTTCAATCCCACAGAAATTTGACTATTTCGAGTCCTATATCTCGGCCCACAGTATATCTTGGCCCTATATCTCGGCCCACAGTTGAGTCCGCGAGCTAATTTTAATGTCTTTCGACTCAGCTTGACGAGCTCTTTTGAATGACATATAAATCATCCAACTCAGGATCAGAACCGTAAAGTGTAGTTAGGCCTAAATTAAATTTTTAATATATTTATAGACATGTTAAACATATTATTTTCGCAACATTTGTGTTTGACGTTTTTTATACTGGTTCTCTCAAATGACAATTTATTATATGGGTAAAAATACTGGAATTTTGTAGTTCAGAAAATTCAGAAGAATTGCGCTTTGACATTGTTTTGTCATAAATATTACCCAATTAAATGTCTTTTTTAATTTGTTTTAAAATGAAAGTTTAAAAATAAAGATAAATTTAATTAAAAATTCAAAAAGGGAATTTCCTAATTTTATGAGTCATAAAAAATAGTACGGAAGAAAAAGATAAAGGGATACTGGTATGAATTATCATTTAAATAAATTTATTAAACATAATGTCAAATTAATAATTTTCAATTATTAATTTGAAATTTTCTTATTCAAAATTTTAAACAGTAGTTATTTAAATAAAAATAGTGTTCTGAAAGAAGAGAAAGAAAAAATAGAGTTTTTAGATTATTGCAATAAACAAATGGGATTAAATCTATTGAATAAGTATTTCATTTACTTTAATTTTTAAGTCTAAGGGTTATTTTTGAAGTCCTAATTTCATCATCTAAAACATTCCACATTTTAGTTACCCTATTTACAAATGAGTTTGATGATTGAATTTTGATTTTTAAATAACAAATAACATTTTTTCCAATTTGATATTTTAAAAGATTGTCTGATTCAGGATGTGTATATCCATATAGGATTTTATGAGCTAAAAAGAGATCATAAGCTCTACGACGGTTTTCCAAAGTAGGAATATTAAGAAATTCTAACCTTTGGAAGTATGGTATATAAGGTAGTGAGCATTTTCTAAGAAGGGATTTTGTAGACTTTCTGGCATTTTTCAATTTTGTTAACATCACATCTTAGTTGTGGATTCCAAGTTTCAGGAGAGTATTCTAGCAATGGTCTTATGTAACTTTTATAGATAGTAAGCCATGTTTTTATAGATTTACCTATCTAATAATAGTAAGGTTTTCTTATAACTCCCCAACAAGTCGCGTTTCCCAAACGCGAGTTAAAAATAAATTAAAATATATTTAATTAAAAATTAGTCATAATTATAAAACGTTCCCATACATTCCTTATCCCAGATAACGATCTTAAATTTATATATTTTCTTTGTGGCTATATTTAAATGACTCTTTTCTCAACAACTTTGACTTCTCGCCTTGAACACTTTTCCCTTAGTCACTCCTAGCTTTTCTCACTTTACTGCTTCCGTTAAATTCTTTTTCCAGCCTTCACTTAATCAATTGTGTTTTATAAATTAAAAGTAAATATTTTTATTTGTGTGTGGAAATTTAAATTAAAGTGTTTTAAGAATTAGCGTTTGTAAGCCGAAACGCTAAAAAATAATTTAATAAAGAAAACATTTATAATCTACTTTTAATGTTTATACGTTTGACGATGTTTCAAAAATTAAAAAAAAATTTTCTAACAAAATTATCGTCATATTTTCAATTTTTTGAAAAATATCCTTGTATTATTTTACTTCTGTCATTTTAAACTTTGAATTGGAATAACTGGAGTAGTATTTACTTTCGAAAACAAAAATTTTTTGATGGAATTGTGGTAGTCTTTGCTAAATAAATTTTGTTAAATTATTAACTGCTTGGCGTATTGTTAACTGCTTGGCGTATATTTCGAATCTAGAGCTAGGGGATAAATCAGATTGGAGTCAAAATGACCCAAAACAAGCTAAATCGTCGTCTCCTTATTAAA